TCTCTCTTTTCACTTTTGTCGTTTTCTTTTCTCTCTTTCCTCTTTTTCTCTCTCATTTTTCTCCCCCTTTCTCCTCGCTTCCTTTTCTCGTTTTTTTCTCCCTTTCTTCTCTTTCACTCCCCCCCCCTCTCTCTCTCTTTCTCTCTCTTTCTCCCTCTCCCCCCTCTCTCTGGGGTCTCTTTTTTCTTCCTTGTCTCTTCTCGTTATTGTTTCTTTCTCTCCCTATTGCCTCTTTTGTTCTTCTCTCAGCTGGGTCTTTCTCCTCTCTATTGTCAATTGTCCCTTTCTTTTCTCTATTGTTTATTTCTTTTCCCGTAACAGTTTCTTAATTCTCTTCATTTTCTCTTTTTTCTCACTGTTGTACATTTCTTCTCTTTGTTGTCTCTGTCTTTTCACTCTTTTTCTTTTTCCCTGGTCTTCCCTTTACTCCAAAGTGTGTCCATTGTGGCGCAAAACATCGCTACCTTAAATTACAAAGTTTTATTTACTCAGTACCTTGTTTTGAGAAATTTGACATTTTTGAAAAGATTTACGTAAATTCACAAGATGTCAAGCTTTTTCGAAATCAATTTCTTGAATATCTTGATGACAACTCGAATATTCTTGCGATTTTGATAGAGAAGATAAAGCATTTAATTTTAGTTTCTGAGCTCGTGGTCTTAGTAACTCAAAACGGCCAGAAATGTCAGAAAATTGCGTAATTTTAAGGTAGCAACATATAGAATTAAAATATACAGTTTTCTTGCCCTTTTCTGATCGGATAACAAGATAATGATTTTTTTCGGACCCCAAAATAACCCGTATTGTGTATCAGCTGTAATGCAGTAGAAGCTGTCCGAGACTATCATCCTTTGTCGAGGAGATAAGTAGTTATCTTGGACAGTAAAACATACTAAGACAGTGTCATTACAACAAGCACAAAGGGAGAGGGGCATGTTTAGTGGTCATTTGTACACATGGTTGTGCGGTTCGAACCTCAGCTCGGCCAGACGTTGTGTCCTTGGGAAAGGTACTTTACACGAAGTTCCCAGTTGGTTCTGTCCTTTTGCTGATGGACGTTAAACTCGGAGGTCCTGCCTCTTAAATAACCTAATAGTATTGATAGGGGCGTTAAACCTATACCATTTTCACAGATGGTTGTCTTGGACAGGTGGTCTTTAGAGCGAGTTCAGTTGTGCATGTCTTACGATAACATTGATATATTATGGGCAACTTAGGAGGTAGCATGCTTTGAGCTCTATCTTTCAGGGCTATTATCGGGCTGAGATGGGTGCAATATCCTTTTATCAGACAAATAACGGCCACCTGTATAAGACAATCACGTGTACTCACAGCCACTCCCCCCCCCCCATATGTACTTTTTACATTTTAACAACTCTGTGAAAGAAGTCTACCTGTCTAAGACGACCCCTTTTCTCCTCGACAACGAGTAGTCATCTTAGAAACCTTTCATTTACTCCACAGAATGCTTACTGTATAGCTACCTCAGAATTTCAAAGTTCTATCTGACACTTTTGGCTGTTTTGAATTACCAACATTATGAGGTCAGAAGCCAATTAATGTTCTGTCAAAACCGTAAGAATATTCGGAGTCGTTATCAAGATATTCAATGAATTGCATTAAAAAAGCTTGACTTATTGTGAAACTCAAAAATGTTGACGACAAAATTCTGAAAACTAGGTTTTGAGCAGATAGAACTTTGTAATTCTGAGGTAGCGGTATGTCGTACACACTCCCACTTAATGAGCAGCCCAAGCAAACAAATTCGTCTTAAAAACTAATGTATGCGCGTGTTTGTCTCTCCTCAGGGCGGCGGGCGGGTGCTCACCCTGATGAATGATTACAGTGGAAGCTACAACTTAATGATCATCGCCCTGTTTGAGCTCATCTGTCTCTGCTACATTTACGGTCGGTTTATTTCAGTTTAGTATTTGGTTTCAAATTCCAGCAACATGTTATTTGTATTAGGTTTACAAAAGATTTAATGAGTAAGGTCGGTAGTCTAGAGGTTAGGCTACCAACTAGACTCGTAATCTTGAGATTCAGGGTTTCGAGGGTTCGAAGCTCTGCTTGGGAAAGGTACTTAAACGAATGTTCCCACTTGGGTCGGTCCTATCGGATATGAACATAAAATTCGGAGATCTAGCCCCTTAAATAACCTCATAGCAAAAATCTCATACTCACGACTCGCGGGCTAGTCGATGCAAGCAGGACAATATTTTGCGACTATTATTCTTCTGTCTGTCTGTCTGTCTGTCTGTCTGTCTGTCTGTCTGTCTGTCTGTCTGTCT